AATAACAGTTCATTATGGAAGGCATTCCAGGTGCTACATAGATTGTAGGCTCTAGTTATAAGAGTTTTCACACTATTGATTTTGTAAATATACGGGATGTAACTGAGAAAATGTAGGCCGAGGCCAGTGAAAGTGGGTTTACGGTAAATGCTAGTTTGGAAGATACCATTGTTGTTAGTGATCATAGTATCTAAAGATGGCAATTGGTTGTCCATTTGCAATTCACAGGTGAATTTGATGCTGGGTGTTTGGCATTTAGGTAATCTAGAAAAAGATTAATGTGTGAAGGGTGCTTAAAGAGCAGGAAAGTGTCGTCGATGTACCGACGATAATGTAGGGGTTTGAATTCAGGCGGGCAGTTATCTAGCCAGCTTTTCTCATGGTGACATAGAAATGCATTAGCATAGGAGGGGCCAAGTGGAGAGCCCATAGCTACGCCATCTGTTTGTGCATATAGGCAGTGCACAAACAGATGGCGTAGCTATGGGCTCTCCACTTGGCCCCTCCTATGCTAATGCATTTCTATGTCACCATGAGAAAAGCTGGCTAGATAACTGCCCGCCTGAATTCAAACCCCTACATTATCGTCGGTACATCGACGACACTTTCCTGCTCTTTAAGCACCCTTCACACATTAATCTTTTTCTAGATTACCTAAATGCCAAACACCCCAGCATCAAATTCACCTGTGAATTGCAAATGGACAACCAATTGCCATTTTTAGATACTATGATCACTAACAACAATGGTATCTTCCAAACTAGCATTTACCGTAAACCCACTTTCACTGGCCTCGGCCTACATTTTCTCAGTTACATCCCGTATATTTACAAAATCAATAGTGTGAAAACTCTTATAACTAGAGCCTACAATCTATGTAGCACCTGGAATGCCTTCCATAATGAACTGTTATTTCTGAAAAACTTTTTTATTACTAATGGGTACCCATTACAGTTGTGTGATAAAATTACTAAAACCTTTCTGTGTAAGAAATTCACCAATCAACAAATTGTCTCCACGGTTAAAAGAGACCATAGATATGTTAAACTACCCTACATGGGTGATCTAAGCTTTGAAATCAGAAAACGGTTAAAAACGCTCTTGCAAATTAATTACCCCCAGATTAAATTTACCTTTGTCTTTAGTAATAACAACACAATAGCTAAGTTCTTAAAACATCCTTTAAATCACAGCTCTGACTTATGTTCTAATGTGGTATACTTATTTACCTGTCCTAGCTGTCAAGCTAGGTACGTGGGATCCACCTCACGATGGCTATGTCACCGCATCTCCGAACATAAAGGCAAGTCTTTCAGGACTGGCCTCCCGCTGAGCAAACCATCCTTCTCGGCAATAAGAGAGCATTCCCAGTTACACTCACACCCTTTTTCTACCACAGATTTTAGTATTTTGTCATCTCATTCCTCCCGCCTAGACCTCATCACCTCAGAATCCCTCCTGATACAAAAGATGCAACCAGAGCTTAACAACTTAACCACAGCGACCCCCTTGTTTACCCACTAGACTGCTCATCTCCATAAACACCTCCTTTTTTTGGTTAGTTTAACATTGATTTTACGTCTCTTAATATGTTTTATATTTTTTCTATTGTGTTCATATATTTTTTGTATATATTTTTCCGTTAATATTGTTTATTCTGTTACGTTTTTGTAAAACCAGAACGCCTTCATATTTTTACATAGTCTAATGACCCTTCTATCTGGTTAATTACAGCATTGATAATGAAGGCATGTAATCCTTCGAAACGTCTGCTAAATCAATAAAGATGAGATTCTTCACGGCCGTATTTATCTACCTCTTCATACTAACGATTCGCCGCCTTACTGGCAAACCCATTACGGAATATATATATATATATATATATGTAAACATATGTATGAATATATGTATGATTATAATATGTAAATATATGAATATATAGGTATATATTTATATATATATGTATATACACACACACACACGCACACGCACACGCACACACACGCACACGCACACGCACACGCACACGCACACGCACATGCACATGCACATGCACACACACACACACACACACACACACACACACACACACACACACACACACACACACACACACACACACACACACACACACACACACACACACACACACACACAGAGTCATGTTTATTGAGTAAATGTAAAAAAGAAATATTTTGTTAAAACAAAGAACTATTCATATTTTTCATTTTTGTGAAATATAACTTTGAAACTCCAACACACTTATGATTTCCAAGGTTAATGATTAAAAGTTACTCCATTTAATTATAATGCTATAGAAAGGATAAAGATATTTTAAGAAAAAGTTATACAACACATGATAAGCAGGGTCTAACTTTTACTTAAAGAAAAGAAAAAAAAAGAAAATGAAAAATCATGTTGAACATGTGATCAAATTTCGATCCAGATCAAATTAACGAAGTGGATGAAAAATGGAGTAAAAAATTGAACTACTTTATATTTTTATAATTTGTCTATCATCCCATTGCCTAGTTCAGGTTAACTAAATATTATACCAATTCATGGAAGGTTTCATGCATGTCCTTATATCATGCTCTTTCAGTGCACTCTTCATAGTAACTTAGTTATTTAACTTAATACTTATAACCTCAAGGAAAACAGAAAAGGAAGCAAAGTTATTTTTAAGTTAAGTTTTAAGTTAAGTTAAGTTAAGTTAAGTTAAGTTAAGTTAAGTTAAGTTAAGTTAAGTTAAGTTAAGTTAAGTTAGTTAAGTTAAGTTAAGTTAAGTTAAGTTAAGTTAAGTTAAGTTAAGTTGTTAAGTTAAGTTAAGTTAAGTTAAGTTAAGTTAAGTTAAGTTAAGTTAAGTTAAGTTAAGTTAAGTTAAGTTAAGTTAAGTTAAGTTAAGTTAAGTTAAGTTAAGTTAGTTAAGTTAAGTGACTCCCCAATCCATTGCTTGTTGTTATCATAGGGGCTTAGGAGACGGGGACTGAGACCCAATGTTTAGATCACCCCTAACTTGGACCTCAGCCCTCGCCTCAACTAATTTTGCACAGTCTTTTCTTCTCCTCTCCTTTTCCCTCTCTTCTTCATCGCCTTCTTCTGTCCACTTCCTAAGGTGTGAGACCCGTGCTGAAAGGATGAAAGGCTCTTTGTATCAATCCTGAATGGCCTTCCGACTCCGTTTGCTCTTCCCTCTTTACCCTTTTCGCTACCATACTAACCTATGGTGTTCTACAACCTTTGATGCATCATTAGTACCCTTTTCTTGTAGATGTTGATACGACAGAAAATTTTCAATAAATGTTTTGTTAAGTTAGTTAAGTTAGTCAAGTTAAGGTAGGCTAAGCTAACCTAAGCTAATCTAAGCTAATCTAAGCTAATCTAAGCTAAGCAGAGTTATCCTATCCAAACAAAGCCATATGAACAATTCAAGGAGGGAGAAGGAGATGACGTAAACTAAGTTGGTGTTATGGTAATCTATTGGAGAGTCATGTTTTAAAAAGTGCACCACAGTTTTGTGCAAAGATCATTATAGATATCTTGTAAAAGAGAACTCGACCCTCTAAAGCCGTGATTCTCAACTCATATTTCACTTTTTTATATGCTTGGCTTCATGTAGTTAACATTTAAACCTTTACCTCAGGTATTGTTTAAATACACAATTGGCATAAAGGCATGCAGGTGCACACACGCATTTTTGTGTGCACACACACACACACACACACACACACACACACACACACACACACACACACACACACACACACACACACACACACACACACACACACACACACACACACACACACACATATACACACACATACACACGCACACACATAAATCCTTTAACATAGAGGTTTTACACCAAAAGAGTTTGTACTTTAACAGGTGAAAAATGGTGCTCCCTTTGCCTATATTAGACGAACCAAAACAAAATTTTCTACCAGTAGCATTATCAGTGAAGCAATAAATCAACAAAATTGCCATTGATGGATTTATTGGGAACTTTTGTAAATCACTGTGTTACTTATTAAAGTTATTATTTTGATAAGACCCTTGTATTGTCATCATGTTTCATTTGGTTCATTGCTACTAAAGAAGAAAAACTTAATTCACAAAGGTATCTGGTGACAAAATGCTCTGGCCAGTTATAGTGTATGGCAGAATTAATTTGTACTTTCCATGTTTGATGCAAGAATTACCTGTAGTTTTATCATTTTTATCCCCTCTCGAGACCCACTGCTTTAAAGGCCTCTGTCTTGTTACTAGTCGAGCCCTGAAGATGTATTGGAAACTCATTTATATTTGAAGCTGTTACTTATGACCTGTAGAACCAAATAAACTATGAGAGTTGAATTAAGTATTTTCATATAAAGAAATCTCAAATATACATGAGATACTATCTCAAGTAGAACTGGTATATAATTTTAATGTATTTATTTTTATTCATATTTTGTTTTTTGTTGTAGTTGTCATTTATCCATGTATTTCCCTTGCAGTAAACATGGCAGAAGGGGAAACTTCAGATGACCTTCAGACCCTAATTCGGCCGGACGATTTAGAGGGTATCACAGAAGAGTCGACAGGTAGTGCGGCAACTCACTCAGCTCCCTCCCTCCTCCATGACCCTCCTCCGGCATGGCAGCTTCCTGTACAGTGCGTGCTGTTGGTGCTTGTGACCACTGCACTTGTAATTATTTTGCCAGTGTATCTTGAGGTGGGTATCTGATTTTTTTTCTTTCTATTAATTCAGTTTTTAGATATGTATGGTATGCAATTCAGCTGAATTTAACTCTTGAATGAAGGAAGTTTGACAAGCTATAGTTCTCTGGGTTATATAGAATGGGTGAAACTGGTAAAAATGCCACACACCCAAGGAAAAGAAAAGATCCATCATATTATAAATGTTGAAATTAGGATGATTCAGGTTTGATTGTCTGTCTTTTAATACAGAAAAAACATCTTTTTGTACCTAAAGATTCATTTAAAGGTTAAAGCACATATGCTAGTGTATACTTTCAAGTTTGGTTTGTGATTTTGATACCTTTTGAACAACACTGCATTTCAGTCAATCTGTCTGCATTATGATTATAATGCTTATTTTATTGTCTGTAGATTTTTGTGTTTTCTTTTCAAGTTTGAAATGAACGTGGCCAAAATTTGGAAAAGAAAATAATGTAAGAGAAATAACAAAATATATTCCTATCTATATCATCACATTCATTCTATATCATATTCTGTTGCTCCTATCATTAGGAAAGGATGGTAAAAGTATATGCACATATGAAAGTGTCACAATGAGATATCTTCAGTAAACCTCCTTGCTCTTTGCAATAAGAAAAAAAAGAAAGAGAGAAAAATCACCATGAAATAGTAACTGAGGATTTGACTTCTTGTGTGTTGAATTTGTAAACTATATTTTGCTCAGAGATATGAGCTTCTTCACTCTACATAAATGCTAATTTTTGAGGATAATACTTTTATGTTTGTAGGAGTATTTTGTATTATTAGATTTAGAAAGTTATTGTAGTTTTTCATAGTTTTAGACAATATAAATCAAGGATATATTATGGAGACATTTGCATGAATTAACAATTGATAATATGTCTTTCTCTTTCCAGTCAGTTAATGTGGTGGGTGATGCGTACTCAGCCCTTATCTTCGCGGCCATCTTCACTGCTCTTCCTGTGGTGTTATTTGTGCAAATCAGATACAGTTACTTCTGCCAGTTCATGCGTCTGGGACCCTCCTCCCCGTCCGCCATACTCAAAACTGGAATGTTCCATGGAATATCTAGTCTCATGATTGTCTATGCCCTGGACAGAAAGCGAGTGGTGTGCCACGCCCAAGAGCCCTTAATGGGGCTTATAGTCATGTATATGATTATCATCTATTTCTTCTACAAAGGACCAGGTAAGTGGGTGGATATTTCAACAGGTATTTGTGGGTGTTAATGTTGGATAGATTGGATATGAATGAATGGAGGAAATACTGTTGAACAAAGCCCCTTATAGTTGAATAGCCTGTAACATGCACCTCCATCTCCATATACAATTTAGGTAGACCAAATATTGTAAAATGGGCTGCCCCCCCAAAGAAATTATAACAGTGATGTGAAAAAACAGATAAGGTTAAGATAACTATCTTCAGAATATAGGTTGTAATTATTTTATAGAAAGTAGTGTTATAAAAGAGGCTGGATTAAGACATGTAAACACTGTGTGTTAAGATTAGTTAAAAGTATATTTCTTCTTCGCATTTTGGTGCCTTGTACTTGCAATGTCCACTGTAGTTTGATTTTATCAATTTTATTTACGCTTAAATGACTTCACAAATGCTTTGTCACCAAAGAGTCAAGTATTAGGCTTACCTGATGTTATTTATATATTACATTCCCTGTTTCCTTTTTTAAGGAATAAAGATTATCCTTATCAATGTCCTTATCATTATTATTATTGCTAACGGTATTGTTATATAATGTTAGTGAAGATAATGATAGTAACAAAAAATAAAAAAAAATCAAGGAAAAGGTTAAGCAGAAGAGATCAGGGATGCATAATAATTGACTCCTAAGTGGAGCCGTCCAAATGCAAAAGACAGGCCTAAACGTGTAAACAAAATTTGTAAAATAAAATGACAGTTGGCAGTGTACATATATCATCAAAGGTTAAAAAGAGAGATGAAGCCATGCCCTGTTTATATTCTTCCAATCTAAAAAAAATCAAATTTCTAATTTTGATGAATAACAGCTGAAACCAGTCTTTGTTGTTGCTACTAAGTGGTCTACACAACTTGAGTTCTTGTATTTATAGATACTTTGCAGTTCTAATTGTGTCTTAGGAAAATGATTTATGTATGTTTTATTCAAATGAATTAATGTATTGCTAAAAATATATAGACTCAAATGGGAAATGTTGCTGGACAAATTTTAATTCAGAAGATACCCAGTGATGAAAAGATAATTTTATATTAGTTCTTCTGAAATGGAATGACATCAAGGAGTTTACCTTTGCCAATTTAGCTAATTAGGCAACAATTTGTAGACTGGGGTTTCTAAAAAGATTCTTGTTTGTATTTTATCTGGAGTGACTTGTCAAGTAGAGGAGATTGAAAGGGAAGGCAGATGTAATTTCTATATATGCAAATGAATTATTTTGACAACTGAAGAAACATTTTTAAGAGGATTGACAATATCAGAAATGTGTGTATGTGGATAAAAGAATATTTTTATGTTGCAGGAATGCTGCCCTTGTGTTATACCTTTGTTATGTGGTATTTTATGTGCTAAAGAATGTCTTGTTTTCATTCCCAGAGTTGAGTTCCCCAAAGATGTTCTCCTTGTGTGGTGTCCTTGGAGGCCTCTTCCTGGCGATGGACTTCCAGTTGAATAACCTCTATCGGTGCCATGGCAGATCCAGAAAAAATCCTGAAGATGATGGTGGCCCTTGGAGTGCTCAGGCCCATGCGTTGTGGACCATTGTTTATGCTGCGGCACTTTTCCTCTTCACGTTATCTTGGCTTCTCCTGGAGAGAGAAGTGATCACCAAAAAGGTGAGTTTTAATGGTTAGGTTTGCTTTGAATTATGCAGGCTTATTTGTGAGACTTACACCTAGGGGGAAAAGAAGAAGAATAGCATAACTATTATCTATTTTTAATGATTCTACTTCCTCTTAGAGGAGTATAAAAATCCTGACTGTGGTGAACATAATGGAACACTTTAGTATATCTATTGTTAACTCCCCCCTCCCTACCAGAGTGGCACAGGCGGCTTAAGTATGGTAAGCACTGTCTCCGGGGGAATGTCAGCCCCAGGGAGTGATGCAGAAGCTCTCATCTCCAGCCGAGGAGCTGTGGTGAGTACCCCCATGCAGAGCTCCTTGGATGCCAAGTGGGGGATCCATCTCGTGTGGTTCACTTTGGCCTCCCTTTTCACCATCATGATGCTCTTCTGGACTGATTTCTTCACCGCTCTCGGAAAGGTTTGTAAATTTCTAACAATGATCTGTTATTGGGTGAATGGCTGTGTATATTCAGTGGGATACTCTTGATTGATTTGAATGGTTGCAAAGATGAGGAAGTTAAAAATGTGTGATGATTTAGGGAAATATAGTATTTAGAATTCCAATTGATATTTAATGACATTTTCTGTTAACTTTTTAAAACCTGATGCTCAGTGTATCAGTATTAAAAGCAGAGGAAAGTGTGGCAGTTCTATTGAATTATTAAATGGGTAGACTTTGTTCAGATAATCCAGAATATTAAAGTATGAAGTAAATAGTATAGAATCCATTTGTTTGAACTTATGTATGATATTTAAGTGTCTTTATGCATTTTCTATCAAGTCATAGACCTTCACCCATTGTTTGCATTTTTTATATAAAAGAATATATGGTCCACCCCTTTCTAGGCTGGATCACCCCAGGAATTTGTGAAACTCACTTCTGGTGGACTACGATGCCACTTTCACTGGGGTGGGGAGTGTGGCCCAACGGCACTCTACGGCTGGCTGTTTGTTGCCCTTCACCTGGCATTCCTGGTGCTCTTGGGAAGGGTCTTAGCTGCCTCACATTCCATCATATATGCTCTGTCTGTGACATCCGTTGCCTTGCCCGTCCAAGCACTCTGGTGGTCCATGTTCCGCATTGGAGGCCCACTAGGGATGGAGTGGTATCCACAGGTCAGTTTTCTTTCCCCCTTTTTTCTTGATATTTTTTGTCTTTTCTGTTACTGTTGAATTTATTGCTTTCAACATGCTTTATATCAGTAGGTATTATCATGAAAATTTCATTTGTAACAGTATAAAAAGAAACTTCATTATGGAATTTCAAGAAAAAGCAGTAATGTTAGATGTAAAAAAGAACAAAGCTGAAGAACTGATGTATTTTTTTTGTAAAAAAAAAAAGTACTATTTCCTTCTTGTTTGTAACAGAAGTATTATTCCATTCTTCTTGGAATAAAAGTATCATTTCCCTTTCTGCTTCAGGAGTCTGGGGAAGTCATTTTCAGTCTGCTGGGATTGCCCATAATGATCGCCTGCTTGTGCTACTGGAGTCATGTGGAGAAACGAGAGAAGCAGAGGTCCAACAACTTCCCCCTCACTGCGGCATCATAAGGCTGGCAGCAGGAATTTTGGTGGCTGTCATGGAAGTGTATGTGGGTGTTTGTGTTAGAGACAAAGAAAGCTGGAATGTTGGTTTTGGAACACTTATAGAGAAGGTAGAGTAATGCCAGCAATGCTTTAGGGGGTGGAATAAACAGTGTGGTTCTGGTGAGTAAGGTGATGTATTTGCCAGACTGTGGTATAGTATAGCAATTGTGACAAAATCAGCAAAGATATGAATAATTAGTCAGCTGAATGAGACATAAGTCAATAGGAAAATTGATCAGATATCAAGTGTATTATCAGGTTAAAAGGAATTTCATTAAAACATGTTCCTGTACTCCCCACCCCATGAACACGCTAAAGAAATCCCGGTTTTGCATGTGATAACAGGTCAGATATATTATTCTGATTAGCCATTGATTTGAATGTCTTTTATGGGCATTTAACAGTAGTCAGGAGTAGTCTGAATCTGATTTTTTTTTTATATGAGAGCGTAAATCTGTCTTCTAATTGTAAAGCAGAATGGTTTGCATATAATGTCTTGTTTTTTATGTATCTGCTTGAATGCTGTGCCAAGCTTTGAATATCAAAATTAAGGAGGACAGATGTTATACAATCCCAAGTTATATACTGTCATAGATCTTAATGTGTTATATATTTTTCTTCTCACTTTCAAGTATGAGAAATATGTGCTGTCTCTCATTTGATATTAAAATTGCATATAATAAGAATTATATAGATATAGACTTAATCTCTGAAGGCTGAACCAAGAATCTGGTGGTATAAATATCTTTATTCTGGTAATGTTGAGTTCTAATTAAAGATAATTTTTAAAAATATATATTTTTTCCTTGTGTTGATTGTGAAAATTATATTTCCAAAGAGTGATGGTGAATACAGGAAACCATTGTGGTAAAGATATTTAAGAATAGATTTAGATATGTAAAAGGAGTGCATATTTAAGTGAGAAATCTTTCAAGAAGTTCTGGCATGGAAATTCTACTATATTTTCAGTGGTTCATTTTCTATTACGAGCCTCATTCAGCAGGGTTGTATTCCAGTATATTCTCACTTTGTGTTGGAATGAGATTTCTAAATTCAACATTGAAATTTCTATAGAGCTTTAAAAGAATATCCACTGTTGCCATGGCTCAAGGAAAAAATGAAAGAAAAGAGATTTATGCTTTGCCTTATATTCTGAAACACTGGATTAGTAATTATGGTGTTTTTTATGCCTATATTGTCAAGAATGCATGTCCCATGCATGTCTTCCTATGAAATATATATTTTTTGGGGTAAATCACTTCTTGTTATAGGTTGAATATAAATTGTTTTCATTTATGATGTTAAAAATACTTCTTCAATGATCATTGAATATGTAAAGTTAATGATGTTTAATTGAACTTGCAATACATTGTACCTATTCATTATTGGGAAAAAATTTCACAAAGAAAACTCTCACACATAGTATAGAGCTTGATATTTTGACTTTATAGTATATATTCATATTTTCCCATGTTATATGTCTATTATTGTATAATGTATGTTTATAATATAACATTATTAAAAATGATAGGATGAAGATGAAAGTGGAATTAGTAAATCACGTAATTTAGATTGCTGAAGCAGCTGTAGTTACCTTAAAGGTACAGCACAGACAGGCCAGTTTTTCATTTATGTTTTGTAAATATCTAAACCTTACACTGAGCTTAAGATATATTTTGTGAATGGAGGGTGGGTGAATCTCTTAAGGTAGATTGAAAGCCAAAGCTATAGGGAATTAGTTTACCAGATGACAAAGAATGTTTTTTTTAGGCTGTTTTAGTTTTTATAGTCTTTTATTTATTCATAGAAGAAAATCAAACATATCTTATGTTAAGACTGTAAAAGGAAAGAAAAAAAATATGCAGTCCTTTTCCAAAGATGCATTGAGAGCTATTGTAGGCTTTTCTAATAGATTGCATGACTGCTTATGGGTAGTACGGTAATCAGCTGTAACGACCATTTGAAAGATTTAGTGAGGGCAGTCTTCCATTCCTCTTCCACTCATTGAAATCCACGACTTCCAGGCAGCATTTTAATTCTCGGATAAGGCATCCATTGAAAGATGTGATGACTGTGCAATTTATATAGGTCTCAGACACCTGAAAACAAGAATAATCATTTTTGTGATATATTGTGGTACAGACTCCCTGTAAAGTCTATACTAAAAGCTGAAAGTAGGATTTTTTTGTGAATTTGTAAATGTGGTATTATTAATAAATATTGTTATTATTATTATTATTATTATTATTATTATTATTATGATGTTATTGTGGGTTATTTTGTCATTGTTATTATTGTCGTTATTATTATTGTTTTTTTTTTTTTTATTATTACCATTATAGTTTTTAATTTATAATTATTATTGATTATGATGATTAATATTAATGATAATGATAATAATAATGATTACATTATTATGATTATGATTATGGTTATGATTATAATTATTACTCTTATTATTATTATTATTATTGTTGTCATTATTTTTATCATTATCATTATTATTATTATCATCATTATTGCTATTATTATTATTAATTGTAATTATTGCTAATTTTCTTTATTTATTTATGTACACTTTGTGCTTGTATGCAAAGCTTAAAATGCAAGTAATGTAAAAGAAGGTATTAATGCACAAGTTTTTAAAGACTAAAAAACAGAACAAGATGGTTGAATTTATATTGTTTCACTTTATTGCACTTGTCATATGGAAGGATTAGTGTGTATGCTGTAAACTGCATAGTTCAGTTGAGCACAAAGTACAGTTAAAGACTGAGTAATTAAGTCCAGAAACAGATCTCAGTTATTCTGTAAACTGATGCTTTAAGTGTCCTATTTTCAGACTGTACCACTGTGGTTTATTTTTGTCTTCTGCACAAACATTAAAAGTTCTGATGCTTATGAAGAGATTTTGCATCTTTCTGTGTTTATATTTATTTACTTACAGAGCGCTCTGTATGCTTGTACGATATATGTTAATAAAAGAAGGCTATTTATTACTTCTGAGGTATTGTTTCTTGCATAATGCAAAAACCAAGTGCCTCACTATGTTATTTTTCCCAAAACCAGGGTGCATATATTGATGTTATTTAATTAATGCATGTGTAAATAAACAGAGGAAAAGTGTGTATACAGATTTACTTTTACAAAAATGGATATGCTTGAAATTTATGTTAGTATTTAAAAAGTTTATGTAAGGAAAAAAACATATACAAACAAACAAACAAACAAAAAATGAAACAAACAGGATTGAATGAATAGTTAACCAATTTTCAGTTTGATATTCACAAGGAAGAGAACACAAAGACTTATTTTGAAATTAGTACTATTTCAAATTTAATTTCAGATTTAGTTATCATGAAACATGTATCATACCAGTGTCATTGCTGAATTTATGTAGCCACATATACAAATTTCTTAAGTCGCTGTCACACTATCACTTTTACCGTCAATTTTTAGACAATTTTATTTAACATAAATACAAACATTCTCAAATATAGCTCTTGATCTGACTTTGCTTAGCGGAAAAAGTTGACGGAAAGGTTTTCAGACGGAAACGATCATTATCGTCTGACTGGAGAATCGACAATTCGCTCAAAAATGGACAAAATTTCTGAAAATTGTCAAAAAATTGACGGAAAAAGTGCTAGTGTGACAGCACCTTTAGTCATGTCTTGTATATATCTAGTGCTACTTTCCAGTGACTTATTATAATTTTCAGTTTTTAGCATTTTGATTTTTTATTGTTTGAAGCAACAGCAAATATGATCTTAAGGAATTGACTGAATTCTTAAGGAATATGTAATTATTATTTTTCTAATTGTGTAAAGGGCGCATAGAAGCTCGTACAGGGTAATAAAAAATAAAATTTAAATGGATTTTCTTAATAAAATGTAAAATTAAAAGGACTCTGCTTCGTTATTATTATTATTGTTGTTATTGTTATTGTTATCGTTATCGTTATCGTTATCGTTATCGTTATCGTTATCGTTATCGTTAACATCATCATTACCTCATTATTAGATGATAATAATAATAATAATAATGATAATGATAATGAAAATGATCATCATTACCTCATTATTAGATGATAATAATAATAATAATAATAATAATAATAATAATGATGATGATGATGATGATAATGATGATGATGATAATGATAATGATAATGATAATGATAATGATAATGATAATGATGATGATGATGATGATGATGATGATGATGATGATGATGATGATGATGATGATATGATATTAATGATAATGATAATAATAATGATAATGATAATGATAGCAATAACAATAATAATGATAATGATCATGATAATAATACTAATAGTAATACTGATACTACTACTACAACTACTACTACAAATTTCTGTTACCATCATAATTATAATGATAAATTAATTATTATTGTCAACAGAATTATGATTATCATTATTATTATTTTTATTATAATTAGTAATAGTAATAGAAGTATTACTACTATTATTATAAATCTTATTATCGGTATTACCATCATCATCATCATCATCATCATCATCATCATCATCATCATCATCATCATCATCATCATCATCATCATCATCATCATCATCATCATCATCATCATCATCATCATCATCTGAATGGTATGGTACTTATAGGACTAGAGAAAAGCGAATGATAAGAAAACATAATGATCACTATTATAATTGTACAATAATATTTAAAAAATTGAATATAGTGAAATACACAAACACAGTGAGTCTATAGTGCAGTGGTGCCAACTTCTTTCAGGTTGGAAATCATGCACCACTTGACATGACCGCGACCCCAAGTCTGTTCTACAATGTATAGGCTTGTATTGTATATTACTAATCACTGGCTGTACAAGTAAGGAAAGTGGAATTCATGTTGAACAGATTGCAACAGGAACAACGAAGGGAAGGGCAAGAAAACACACGAATATGCCGAAGGCCTTTTCACTATTGCTGAAGCAATAGACGAAGCAATAGTGAAAAGACCTTCGGCATATTCGCGTGTTTTCTTGCCCTTCCCTTCGTTGTTCCTGTTGCAAGTAAGGAAAGGCATATTTTGAGTTCTTGGCGACCACAGGAAAAGCGTTTGGCAATCCTTGGGAAAGGCTGAGTTTGTGTGATATACCTTGACAAGTAATATTTTCTTAAAAGAAAAGTATATACATTGCGGTGACTTTGAAGTGATGTGAGAATAAGTTTACCCCTAAAAGAGGGAAATTAGTTTGTTGTATTCCAAAATATTCGAAGAAATAAAAGCGCTGATATATGGCTACAGAACGGAACACTCAGAAATAAGGTCCTCATGTATGTTTTAGCCGTTTAAAGAATACAAGTTTTGGAACTCTAGCTACATATATAATATAAACTTGTATGTTTTGACTGAATATTTTGTCATGCGTATGTTGGATTCTGATTTGGAATCTGGTATAAGTGCTCATGAGTGCATTGTAATCAACCGGCTTGTTTTTTCCCATTTTTAGTAGTAAGATAGCAAGCGTCATACCAAAATAAAGTAATCAGGAAATGCCTACAATTAAGCCAAGGGTCCTGGGGCTGCAGGGATAGGTTGGGGAACAGGGGACGAAGCCCCCGGAAGCTCCTGGATTTTAGCAGTTTTAAAAAGATAAACGCATTAATTTCTGTACTAAAAGGTCAGACATTTTTTATTTTGATAATATTTAACATGATGTTTATTTGATTTTGAACACAGTTGTAGCTGCCCTTTCAGTTGTAGGGGTCAGTGTTCTCGACAGTTGGGTAACTAAAGGTGCTGTCAGACTAGTACTTTTTCCGTCAATTTTTTGACAATTTTCTGAAATTTT